TGGAGACCTTCATAACTACTAAGTCATTTTTGTTTCTATACACACAAACACTCACCCAGGTTCCATTCAGAGATGGAAATATTTCTTCAGCTCTGTGTAATATAATTTTTGGAACTCGTGTTGCAATAGACTGCAATATATCTTTAAGGCAGGAAACTTGTTCATCACACATCATGTTTGGAGAACTGTATAGGACAATAGCTTAAAACAATGCTACTGATGCACCTCCAAACGCCTGAGTAGACGCGGCCAAAGATATTAGTCTCCGTTCGCAATCAGCGAAAATCTTTCTGTATTCGAGTGCACAGAGGAACGGTCTAAACATGATCGTGGGTTTTCGCGGCTGGAGTTGAGTGTTTTATGTTAACCAACATTTCGGCAAACAATGCAGTTGCCTTTTCGAGATGGAACATGTGGTATTTAGTTTACAAGAGCAGTTTTCGTTTGGGAGGTGATATGATTCGACTGTTACACATTGTGATGGAAACAATGCGTAGCCAGTCAGAACATGTCTGAGCGCAAAATTTTGCGTTGTCCAGTTTTTAATGATAATAGGCTCAGTGTTACTAACAGCCAAAATCCTCTATCAGGAGTGATGTTAGTCGGACATAGCCGATATCTCGGATCACTTTCGGGAATATTTTTGATCCTATGTCAACGTTAGCGGTGAGGCAGAAAAAAATTTTACTCGTACCACGGTCAGCGAAGCTTGGTGATATACAGCGCGACATCTATTAACTGTGGGAACGCTATTGAGATTGAATCAATAAAACACGGTTTTGTCTTTCTTTGTTCCTGTGGGAACCCGTTCAAGGAATTGAGGGAAGCTAACATTTATTTGAGGTATAGCGTTGCATAGCCAGGTAGAAATTGATCATCGTTTCAGAGGTGATAAGTGATGTGAAATAGTATTGTGTTTTATAGTGTTATTTCATGTTAAACAAGTTCAGGTCTATGAAGGTTCAATGAAATGTAATCAAAGGCTGTTGTATTGCAAAAGTAAATGGCACAGAGAGCCATCATTACGTTATTATTATCATTATTAATAGAGATGGTAAGAATATTTAATCATGAAACATTACAAGAATTCTGTAACAGGAGTGATGTTATTGAAATTTCTTGTGTTTGTGTTAAGGCCTTTGAATGTATTAATTATAGCATACAAAAATCTGAATTAGTCTGTTATATTATTATAGTAACTTTCATAATATGCTTTCTTAACTTTGGTATCCCTTTCTGATATATTTAATACTACCTAAAATCAGCAGTTTCCTTCCAGGACAAGGACAGATATTCCAAGATACATACAGGTGTTATTTTTTTGAAGCTGAATTCTTACAAGCCACTTTTAACCTTACCCACTAACCATGATGTGTGATGAACAAGTTTCATACCTTAAAAATATTCTGCACACAATTGCAAACCCGAGTGCTTATATTGCGCAGAGCTGAAGAAATATTTCCAACTCTGAATGGGACCTCGATGAATGTTTGAGTGTATACAAACAAAGATCACTATTAGTTATGGAAAGGTCTCGAGTCATTATGCTATAATGTGGTTGAAAAAGATTCCCGTCTTGTGTTCATTATGTTTTGGCTACCATGAGCATGACCTCTACTCTGTTAACAGTGTGGAATTAGCCTTCATGTATGAAATATAGTGTGTATGTATCTATGGGGATTGAATGTGACATGATTGTGTAAGAGGCATCACTACAGTAAGAACCCAGTAAATTTCTTGTTTCATCAACACAAGGTTAATGAATTTTCTTGCCGCACTTATCTATTATCTATTTCAGAATATGGTATTGTAGATTCTCATCCAGTTTATTCCTGCATTTAATGGATATCATTTCAAGGAATTATGTTTAACTCTTAATTTTACAGCAGAAAATGGATGAAATCAAGGTGGAAAATGATGTTGATGATCTGAGTGAAGGAGATTCAGTTGGCTTAGGAAATGATGTTTACACACCAACAACTTTTCCCATAATAAAGGATGAAAGGAAGGTAAGCCTTCTTTTAAACAAATTATTTATGGTTTTTATCTGTCTGTGTGTATGTACAAATGTATCCATACATGCATGCATGTGCTTCTCTTTTATGATAACTGTTTTATAAAAACAACATTTCTGCAACATAATAATCCTGTATGTGGATGGTGGTTTTACAGAACTGTATGGATTTGGTGAAAGTTGAACCTCATTCAGACAGTGAGACTTGTGATGATGGAAATCAGGTCATCAGCGTAAAAGCTGAGGAGGACTCAGATATAAAAATTGAGGAACATCATGTGCCAATACTATCTCCAGTCATAAAGGATGAACAGGAGGTGGGTCCATGAAAGTGTCAATTGTCCTCGTGTGTGTCTGTCCATTCACATGAAGAAAGTCCCTTCTGACGACTAAATTTTGAAATTGTATCTAGGTTATGAATTGTATCACATACAATGTTTGGACATCTGTAGATCCTGCTAATTATTCTACAGATGGAATCAGAGCACTGTGTTTGTTTTCGTAGTACACTGAGGCTCTAACCCATCCATCTGAAGTAAGGATATGGTATGCTGAATTAGGAGATTGTACTCACAGTAGATCTTATTTAGGATGGATGTATTATATATTCCCATTTGTCTTCTTCTCATCATAAGTGATATCACTGAAAGAATAAAATTTTAATCCACACTCTGAACAACTTTGTTGTTTTTGTGTCATTCATCTTGTCGTTAATTTTGAAAGTTGTCTAACTGCAGTGTGACAGTCAGTAGGGGAGAGAGGGGCTCTATGGTTTAAGAAGAGACACAAAGAACGAAGGAAGAACATGGGAAGAACTGAGAAGAGGTGTGGAAGAAAGACATGTTTACCTACAGAGTGGCACTGTCTTATGAAGATAAATATTGCAGTGTGTTAAAATTCACTGATTGTGGAAATGTTAAATAATATTAACTCCTATTTGGAAATTACTATTTATTTTTCTCCAAAATATGGAATCCAAACTGGGCTAATTCTATTGGTAAAATTATGTTTTTATTAAAGGAGTGGTCATCTTAGCAGTTCAACTATAAAGTTTGGTAAGAGGTTTATTGGAACAGTCATTATTACTGTAGACTGTACATCACTTAGTCTGAACAGTAAATTTTATTTGTTTTTTATTACATATTAAGGCATTAAAATAAGCTGGAATTCTTAGTGACAAATAGAGAAATCTACATGTTGTCAGTTGAATCATTTCTAAAAATCTGGGTTATTTATTTAGGTTAATTTTTTGAATTTATATTCGCATTAAGAAATCATGACTGCACATATCCCCACTTCTTGATACTTTGACTCT